TCTCTGTCAATAGAATGTAGTTTTCAATAATTAGTTCATGCTCTCTGCCACTTTTAATTTTTTCACACTGCAGAGAAAATTGTTTTTCCAATAAGACGTGACATTAGAAAAATATCCATCTGTACAAAACTAGGGCCTAACATTCTTTGAAGAGAAGCAGTTTTTTTATTTGAAGTTATTTTTTGTGGAAAATAATAGAAACTGGTTTGTTATCAAAAAGTTATTTCCCAGTTAAACTTCATAGACCTATGACAAACGTTCACCGTCTGAAACGAACCTTCTGTAACATTCACTGGTCCAGACTCCAGATTACCAGTAAGCATGAACACTCAGCCAGTTCAGCCTCTGCAAAGTGTTAATGGACCAGTAAGAAACTGTAACTGTGATCAAAATTAAAACTTGTTCTTTAAATGCATTTTCACATCTTGTCAGAGAATTGTTGCTCTCGTTATTTTCTTTCCTCTGGCTAACGGTGTTATTTAAATATTTCCCAACATGCATTCTGTTTAGTGTGAAGCTGGGAGGAACAAGGAAATTTATCTGTTGGGTATTTTTACACTTTCTCTGTGTGCTGGGGTGAAATTTATGGGTCAGCTAATGCAAGAGAGATAAAATAAAAGATTCATCTCTTTAAAATGACACGTGCACTTGTTTGGAAACGTCCTCGTTGACCTTCCTGCACTGACGGGCCGCAGCCGATCGCGGCAGGTGTCTTTCATACCGTGTGCTGTTAGAGCGCACCTGAAGCCTCCAGACAACAAGCTGCCTACTTTTAAACAGCTCACATTTACTGATGATCACCTGGGTGCATATGATAAGTTCATAAGTTCAAACATGAAAAATATTTAATGACCAGGCTGGAGTTTTTTTTTTTGTTTACACGTTTCCATGGCAACATGGGAGCGCTGCATGTCGCTCTGCGGTCCTGATTAAATTTTACTTTGTGATTTTATTATGGAGCATGGAGGCGTGTCTGGTGTTTAGCAACATGTTTTAGTAGTTTAAATGTTTTTATATTTGTGTAAAACAGAAAAATAAGCTTTTGTACATGATTACTCGTTTTCTTTTACGTTTTATTGTTGGATGTCACTGGGACCCTTTTGAAGTGGCGTGAACGACAAATAAAGAAACTCTGACTCTCTCTCTCTCTCTGGCCACCATAGATCAATCTTTGGCCCCTTCAATCATCTCAGAAAACTATACTATTAAGCAATACACAGTCTCTTCAAATGATTGGATTGTTTATATATATGTATGGCGGTGGCCATCTTGGATTTTGATGTAACAAACCCGTTCTTAATAGTGATCTTTATCATGCCTAGATGCAGCTGCACACCAAAATGGAAGTCGACCTGTTGCTTATTTTTCAAGTTGTCCAGCTCGTAAGACAGATGGACAAACAGACGGAGGGTGTCCAAGTCCCCTCTTTGTGACGAGGGAGAAACAGTGAGGCAGCTGCTGCAGTCATAATGAATTGGACTGAGTTCAAATGTTAATCAATGTAAAGGCACATTTAAAGACTATTTACTAAAAGTTTCATTATAATTTGTTCTAAGCGTTTAAGACATTTTGCTAACAGACAGACACAAACACCAGTAAAATCATTATGGTCTGCCTTCATTTGGCAGCAGTTGGTAAAACCACCAGCAGGTTGTTTCCACTGTGAGAGGAAACTGGAGCCTGAAGAAAACCCACATGTGAAAGACTAGCTGTTTACTTTATGCTAAGCAAAGTAAACAGTGTATTCTGCTGCTTAACATTTAATGAAACCACGAGTGGCACCAGTCTCACGGTCTATTTTCCACCCATCTTGAAATAATCATTTTAAATTATGCTTTACAGGCAGCACAGAAAATAAAGCTATTATTTGAACAGGACTGTGCCTGAACAGAACCGTAGAGTTTACTCTGCAACAAAAATACACGATGGCTTCAAAAGAGTTTGAGAGTCAAAGATTCCTCCAGAGATTAGATGTCCAGAGGCGTACTGTACATCTCTCTTGGTTGTGACTGGCTTTAAAGTTATCTCTGTAAAATACTGACAGAGTAAAAGGAAAGATCGTCCTCTGAGGAACACAGTGCAACATCGCTGCCATTCCCTCCTGAAGATCAAACTAAAAAGCCCTAAAGCGGAGAATGAGGGAAGTGGTGGACAAACAGGCTGATAAATGAGTCGCAGCACCCCGTTCACGACTATTTAACAAAATGTGGTGACACCGTGTTTTTCTGCGTCATCATTTCTGTGCCCGGTAGCATGAAAAATATAAAATATCATGTAATAGATGATCAAAGTAGTCTTGGATTAATTTAGTCTAACAGCTCCTCCTTATTTGTCTGGATGCTGCTAGATGATGTCTATCCTTGGCAGGGCTGGTTCTTTAATAAAAAAGTAAAAACCCATGTGTAATAAAATCAGAAGTGTTAAATATTCATTAAAACCAGGGTGCTTACACATTCATCTTCTCTGCGAGCCCACTCATCTTCCTCTCTCTTTCTCTTGCTGCGTGATGAATCTATGCATCATTACACTGAAATTACATTTCATCAAAGTATTATATTATTTTATTAGGTATGTGGAGCTGTAAGCTAAACACACACGTGCACTTCCTAAAATACGCGTGAGATTCTGCTTTCACATGGATGTCCATTTGTTTGACCCCCTTCCTCCATATGTTATGTGTTTGCATCATTTTACAGCTTAACGATGATTTTGTTTATTACTCAGTAACAAAAACTTAATATTTGTTGTTCTGCTGTGTACGCTCAAAGTAAAGTTTTACATACTTTTCATCCTCTATGTGCAATAAAAGGGTGCCGCTCTTATAACCCACGACCAGAGGTGGAGGACGATAATGTTTTGCTTATGGATGTCTGTGTGTGCTTGTGTTCATGTGTCTGTCAGCAAAATATCTCCTGAACCACTGATTTTAAATGAACTTTAGAGGAATAATCAATGGAGTAACATTTCAGGCCAGTTCAGTTCAAGATGGCCTCCACAGCTAACTGACCTTACAAAACACAAGAGTGGCCACGCTTTAGTCAGGTTTATTGGTACTGAGATAGATTTTGATGAGATAGTAGCTGAGCATCATTCACAACTCACACTCTGAGTTCATCTCTATTTTTAACAAACAGGCTCCTGGAGAGCCCTCATGTCCCGCTGAGACTCCCGCTGCAGGATACGTCATGGACCCGTGGGGGAGGTGGGAGCTGATGTGTCTTTCTTTTCTGTTGCAGGAGGACACGGAGACATTTATATAATTGGATTCATGATAGCAGGGTTTCTGCTTTTTGGCATCGGCAGGTTCCTATGTTATCGGCTTTTGAGGAAGACATCAGCAGCAGTTTCAGCCATGACAAAACTGCAGAGCCTGTGTGAAGGTTTGGTTCGTGCTACGAGTGCTCAAAATCAGCTGATTTACGTGCTAAACCATACGATGGAAGCAATTTGTGAGAATCGCAGGCCACCTGCGGCTTGTAGGACTCGCCAGCATGTTGGAGAAGATCTTGAATGAGGCTCACAGCATGGACCAGTGGAATGCCCACAAATTTGGCCATTTTGGATTTGAAAGTACCAGCAGGACTCAAGCCTGACAAGAAGAAGAAAAAGTCTACCTGAAGAAAATCAACAATTGTGGCTTTTCTGAATCTGACTCCTCCATTTGGCCTTGAAAGCAGGCTGACTATCAAATTTCACATTTCTCCTGTGACATTCCCCATTGAGTTTGTTGATTCCTATAAATATTTGTGTATCTTGGTCGACTCACATCTCTCTTTTAAGCTCCATGTGGAAAACTTAGTAAAGAAACTGAAAGTTAAACTGGGTTTCTTTTTCAGAAACAGATCCTGTCTAACCCTGAATGTTAGGAAACACCTTGTATCTGTGACTTTCCTTCCCTCCATTGATTACGGTGACATTATTCACATGAACGCTCCTACAAGAACCGTGCAGATGTTGGATGCTGTCTATCATGGTGCACTAAGATTCAGAACTGGCTGTAACTACCATACCCACCACTGCACCCAGTATTCACTGGTTAACTGGTCACCATTAACTTCACACAGACTCTCTCACTGGTACATCTTCATCTTTAAATCACTTCCTGGTCTGCTGCCTTCATACATCTCCTCCTACATGTCTCTGTGTGAGTGCAGCTACAGCGTGCGCTCTCAGGACATCATTACCTGCAGTGTTCCCTCAGTGAGGACTGAACTAGATAAAAGGACCTTCTCGTACTCCGCTCCTGTTTCCTGGAATATCTTGTAAAAACATCTGAAGCTCTCGACCTTTGACCTCTCTAAATGACTTTAAAACCCTGTTAAGTTCTTGGCAAAAACCAACGCAGACATGTTCCTGTTTTTAGTTTTCTAAATCGCCTTGTGATCTAACTGTTTTTTGCTGCTATTCCTCTTGATTGTCTTTTTGGTTGCTATTTTGTTTCGATCTGTAAAAGAATAAAATAAAGAGAAAGTTAAATTTGTATGCCTATTTTATGACTGTCTTTTGTTGTTGTCCATTGTTGTCATCATTCTTTGTTAAATCAGGTCTCTCTTGTAGATGAGTCCTCGAGGCTCAATGGGATTAACCTGTCTAAATAAAGGTTGAATGAATGACATGGGTAAACTAAGGAAAAAGCTTCATCTATCACAACCGCCCCACCCCCTGAGAACTTCTGTGCAGGCTTATCAGAACTGCTGGCTGACCAACATCTTATCAGGACTATGGCCTATTTGAAAATGCTTCATGGACAAATATCACCGTCTTGTCGTCCCGTGCATATGTAACGTGTTGATAAATGTGCTGCTGGTAGAGTTTTATGATGTTTTAAATCACGTCCTGATAGGACAAGATGTGAAGAGATCTTTTTTTGTAAAACCACTATCCATCCTCATGGCCTTTTCCCCTTTTTCTATTTAAAAAGTGCTCTCATAAACGATAAGAGGCCGTGCTCCTGTAGCAGCAGCAACGTGCACTCCGTCCATCTTTTGGACGACTGTACGAACATAATCTCACTGTCTCTCGGTACAATGATGATAAAGCTTATTCTGATTCTGATCTCACAATATCCCATGAGATTTTTAAGGTTTGTTTAAAAACAGCTACATTCTGTTATTTCTCATCATGTGAAGGTCCTGGTGTAAAACACCGACATGACAGGCAGCAGGGCATCCCTTAAAGAACTGTTAGGCCTTTGTTCTGTGCACACACACACTGCTGGTTCACTTTAAGGAACATGGAAAAACCTGAAAATGTTTAGGATGACATTGATGCAGACAGGAAGGACGTTCTGAGCATTCCTCTTTGCACAGTTTCACACTCACAGGGCACTTTGTGATGCTCTGCTCCCACTGGCTCATTCTGACACTTTCCTCCAGGGTAGTGCATTTCTTCAGCAACAGATCCCAACCACAGTACGGGTCCCTGGCTCCTACGCAGGCTCTAAAAGGTAAGAAGAGCACAGTAACATCCACCATTAGAAGGCTTTTATTAAACTGTCATGAATCTACAGCGGCAGCTCCGTGTTGTGGAACAGAGGAAGTCAAACATCAGGGGGAAGAGGAGAATACAGAGGAAGGTTTTTAAAAGACGATGTATGGAAATATGTGAACTGACAGCGATAAGACGAAGGGAAGGTTTAAAGGGACATACCAAGAAAGGCCAAATAATAAAGGAAAAAGTAAAGATGGCAAGGGAGAGGTAAATAAAGAGTTTTGTGAAAGAATAAAGAATTGAAAAGAATAAAAATGAACAGAACACAAGAAGAAGCTACTTGAAGCAATAGTCGGGTCATTTTTAAATGTCAGTTATCAACATCGTGTGAGTGGTGATGACATCAGCCACAGAACACAGAGAATGACAAAGAGGGCAGAAGTCTTCCTCCAGGCTGTTGTGAACACTCCATTTTGGTGTGTGGTTACATCTAGGTGGAAGGAAAATCTGATGGTCACCATGCATACGTTAACCAGCCACCCCTGTCCACACTTCAACACTTGCTCTTCAAGGGTGGACGTCTCCTCCTCTCCCTCTCCGCGTTGCTCTGTCTGTCTGTGAAACTGCTTTAGAGCCTCTCTTCTACAAATCTTCTGAATCAGAACTATGGACTTGGATTAGATCAGTTGGTCCCTCAACACAGTTGATAACATTTATTTGAAGAGCAGACAGGCTTTAGGCGAGCTGATTTGCCCTGTTGGCATGCAGCTGGATATCTCATGGACTTTGAAGACTTGATGACGTGTCTATCTCTGCTGTCATCTGTGGATTTTAAAGACACATTTATAATTGGATTTATGATAACTGGTTCCTGCTTTTAGGATTCGTCTGGTTCCTGGGCCATCAACAAACAAGGAAGTCATCAGGAGCAAATCTGGACCTGGTCAGGCTGCCTGCCTTATATGATGGCTTGGTTCGTGCCTCGAGCACCCAGACTCTTGGCAGAAGGGATCAGATCTTGGGGATTATTCTCAGGCACGTTCCATTGGTATGGACATTTAATTTGGACATTTCTGAACCGAGTGGACCGGCACAGACTCAAGGTAGATGTCATTAAGTTCTGCCTGTCCCCAAAACAATCGTGTTTATCTGAATTCAATTGCCTGACTGGCCTTGACAGCCCGTCTTATCTCAACCGGCGTAATCTCGGCATCATTATGTGCTCATGTGAGAGATATTTTTTCATTATCACACTGTTGACCTTCAAACAGAGGTTAAAAGCGTGTTAGGATTTTTTTGTGTGTCATTTTTCAACACTTTTATTGCCAAACAGGTCTCACTTGTAAATGAGTCTTTGAGGCTCAATCTGACTTATCTGTTTAAATAAAGGTTGAATGAATGAATTAATTCATGTTTTCTAGCTTTTATATTGCTTAAAAGTATAGTTTTCACAAATGATTTGTGGAGGCTGAACATTAATCTATGGTGACCAACGCCGCCCACTGGCTCTGCCGTCGCACCTGGTCGTGGATCCCATTTGAACATCTTGCACCAAAAACATTAAGGTTTTCTTGCCTCCCTTGTTCAAGTCCAGTCCAAAAAGGCACTCATCTCAAAACCTAAAAGCATTCATTGTTTAAATCCCTCAGCGCGGGGGACCTTGGTGTACCGCTTGTCAGGGTTTTAAAGCAGCTCTTTCTCAAAAACGACATACGATGTGAAAGAACGTCACATTAGCTTTGTTCTGTTCTGCCAGCTCCTGCACCCACAGCCAGACTCTAATCAGCTACACCTGTGGATCATCCACTTGACGAGCATGAGGAGCACGAAAGGCTGCAGAAGACATTCAGCCAGTGCTGGAGCACTACCTGCCAATGGTAGCCTTGTTCTAGCCTTGTACTCGTGTCTAAAAACCAAGTATTGATCATTTGTATTTCTATCCGTGCCTCCAACGAGTTACCCTCGATGTCCTCCTGTTTTCTGAATCCACCTCTGTGGACCTCGAGCTCCTCTGTGCCTTCCTACCACTTACACCTCCTTTCCTGGAACCATTTGGGTCAGCCCTCCCCACGTCTGACCCTGACCTCCATCGTAAGGAGGTAATAACAGCATTATCTCTTGTAAACAAACACTGTCAACTCATTCCAAGTCTTGGTCTCTGTTCCCACTGGTCCTTACATCTGGGTATAGCCACAATCTTTACAAGCTGAAATGAAGCCCCTGCATTTTTTGCAGGACATTTTGTTTGAATGTTTGGCAGCCATGTTCAGTCAGATGAAGGGCAGGGATGGTTCTTTTCATCATAAAGCTTGCGACCCCCCCGCCCTAGTTCAGTTGTAGTTATCAACTCAACAAATATCCACTGGGAGAATCTTTTAGTAAAGATATTTTCTCCTGACTTTCACATAAATATTTCAGCACTTCAGACGGTTTATTGAGTGCGATAAAAAGCACGACGCCACTTTTTCCCCACATAAATACAGCTTTGCTGTGACAGCAAGGTGACAGATCTTTTGGCTGCAGGCGTCAGCGCTCCATGGCATGCCCTTGGTGAAACGTATGCTTCTTGGAGGGTTTCGTTACAACGATCCGAGTTCAGACACAAACAATTGTGATTATGCAAGAAACGCATGATGGCACTGTATTTATCCACTCAAAACGACTGAAGTAGGGCTCAACTTCAGCTTCTCCACTGTGCTTATAATGTTTTTGTGAAGCTAACAGAAAGCCTGACAGTTACAGAGTTGAGACAGAAGTCTAAGGAATGACGACAGCAGCGCAATAGGAGAAATAAGAACAAACATGGTTCTCTCTCAGAGGGCCGGAGAGACAGTTCTCTAACATTTCAAAGGTGGAACAGAAAGTAGCGTCACTGAAGAATCCAGGAGAGCTCCCAGAAGCAACCAGCTTGTGCCTCAGCTCTTTTCTGTTTAGTTTAACTCCTCACTTTTTGAACATTCATAAAAAAGAGAAGGATTTAAAGATGTTCAGCTGCAGCAACTGTCACTGAGCAACAGCTGTATGGTGAAGTCATGTGATCCAGCTGCAGCTCGACGCGGGAGAAGTGAGGAAGGCAGGTGTGATTTCACACTATATGAAGGACAAGATGCAGATCTTGTGATGAGCACTTACACACTTTTTTAAAAATTCGTTAAAGCGGCAAGTGGAGCAAAACTATTATCGCCACCGGCCAAAAGGATGGCCCAGCACAGAAGATCAACATCATCAGGCCAGGACTCTGCGGTCTACACTCATCTCCAGGCCAGAGGTCACTCTTTCAGGGATGAAGATGTTCACATCCTGGATAGAGAGGAACGATGGTTTGAGAGAGGAGTAAAGGAGGCCATCTTTGTGAAAAGAAATCGTCCATCATTAAACAGGGGTGGAGCCTCCAGGTTCAACTGTCCCCCTCTTACAATGCTGTGATTGCTAGTATCACTCAGCCCTCTGTGAACAGTAAACAGCCATCAGGTGCTAATGATCCATTGTTAGGCTGATGGTCCTTCTTGACCATGTGATCAGCTGGTTCTGGTTGTCAGCAGCAAAACTGGTTGATCCACTCTGAGAAGGTGCTATTTATAAAACTGAGTTTGTTGCAGCTCCTCAAACTGAAGAAGTCTTGTTGTTTTAATTTTAAACAAGTTTTTAATTAAAAAAAAATTTTAATCCGTCCAGAGGACCTGACTCGACTTGGTTGCATGCATCAGGATATTATCTCCTGTGTTCGTTGGTCGGGACAGTTAGCAAAATAACTCGTGAATGGATGGATGGATTTCAGTGAAGCTTCCAGAAGATCATCCCTGGGGTGATATCTACAACAATTTACATTTTACAGTCAATCCAATTCAAAATGGCCACCACAGCAAAGCAATTTTAACAAACATAAAAATGTCTCTAAAGGAGTTAACTGTACACACATTGAACTTTGGTGTGGTAGTAGCTGAGACTAATCCACAACTTATACTCTGAACGCTAACTGGTCATTCAACAAGCATTTTAAACTTTGCCAATAACCACTGGAATAAACCGTCTTTGTCTGTTAGCGAAATAACCACTGGAGTAAACCGTCTTTGTCTGTTAGCGAAATAACCACTGGAATAAACCGTCTTTGTCTGTTAGCGAAATCAGCTAGGACTTTGATTTAGTCTATTTTTGATGGTGTGCTTTCCAAACAGTTTAAATCACACGACATCCGATGAACGGCCAGCGGGGGTTCATGTAAGAAGCAGAAGGGTTTCCAGCGCTCAGCAGAAGCAGCACGGTGACGGGGACTGAGAGCCGCCACCGGCACCTCCAGCGGCTCAGACAAAGCTGATCGTGAGGACTTTAAGTTCCAGCTAGCGGCCCCTGAACAACATCAAGGCCTGCTCCTCTCTGATAAAGAGCATCATCTGGAAAAAGGGGCTCTACAAAGCTTGGTGTGTGCACATTTGCTTTTGACAGTTCCCACTGAGATTAATGGTGCTTGTGTGTGTGCATGCGCTCACTCTCTGGCCTTGTGGTAGCTGCATCTCTTGAGTGGGATCTTGATGACCTGGTCTCTTACGCCCACGTAAAGCTCGCTGCGGCTGTGCAGGATCAGCAGGCTGCGAATCGGCTGCCTCTTCCTGGGCGGGAACAGCTCGATCTCCTCCAATAGGCAGCTCCCCGTGGACCGGTTTAGAGGAGACAGCACTTTCCTGATTGTGCCGTAATCTGGAAGGAAAAAAGAGGGAGGGAGGATTTGGTCACAAAGAAGGCGAAGGAAGGCCACAAGAGAAAAGGTAACAGAAGAAAGGGCTGGATGAGACGAGCAGAGAGTTTCCAACAGAAGAAACAACAAATCAAATGAGAAAGCTGCACTGAAGACAGTGAACGCAGCGTGAAGACAGTGAACGCAGCGTGAACCACATAAAAATCAGTTGGTGACAGAGAAGCTGCACAAACAAGATTGTTGGAAGGAAAGGTGGGGCCGGCTGCACCGAGCCTGGTTGTGGCATCAATATGCAGCGCTGCACATGCACCGAGGGATTCGACGTGGCACCTGAACGCATGATTTCTGACCCAGTTTCCCTTCAGGGATATTCTGAGGGGATGAAGCCACTTTGTTGTGCCGAGAGAGATAGAAAGAGGAAACGTGTGCCGTGGAGAATGCATCATGACCTTTATTGTGCGTAAGGCAGGGCCCCGTAAAAGGCAGTTTGAGACGATTTCCTCCTGGGAGAGCTAAAACAAACATCATCTATTATACATGCAGTCCCCGGGGTGTGCAAAAGTAATTAGGTGTACAGTAGTGGCAGAAGAAGAAGGCTGGAATGCTAATAGGTAACTTGAAGGCAGGGGATGAACAAGTGAGGTTGTGCCTGAAGCTGCAGGGGCAGTAATGACATCACCGTTCATGGAACAAGCAGAACTTTAATTGAAGCTCCATTTAGAGTTCGGTTTTATAAAAACACTGTTTCACTGGGAGATTTTATAAAATGATGTTTATACTGACCTTACCTGTAACACAGGGTTCATGACAGACAGACAGGTGTAGCAGATAATAACTCTGTTTTATAGCAACGCTTCATTTTGGGTCAAACGCTGGTTCAGCATCACACCATTGTTCTCCTGTTTGACACAGTTTCTGTTGTCTAACAGTCGTTCACTCGTCACAATGTTCTGCTCCACCACACACTGACTGCTGCCACTTGTCTAATGCAACTTTTACACTGTTCAAAATATTTACCGTCTTTAAGAATATTTTCTCAACAGAAACACATTCAAACTTCATTATTAAAAAAATCAGCTTTATTTTTATTCCTTTACAATTAATTTTTAGCTACTGTTCTATTTTTAGCTTTTAGATATTGTTTTGCTACACAACACTTAGCTACTGGTCTTTTCCAGTATTTTTTAAAGATTTTTCCCATTTTTGCTTCAATTTGACCCCTTTTAGCTTTTGGTTGTATTTAGCTTCTGTTTCAATTGTTTTAGCTTCTAATTGTTTTAGCTTCTGTTTTAATTGTTTTAGCTTCTGATTGTTTTAGCTTCTGTTTCATTTGTTTTAGCTTCTGATTGTTTTAGCTTCTGTTTCAATTGTTTTAGCTTCTGATTGTTTTAGCTTCTAATTGTTTTAGCTTCTGTTTTAGCTTCTGATTGTTTTAGCTTCTGTTTCATTTGTTTTAGCTTTTGGTTGTATTTAGCTTCTGTTTCAATTGTTTTAGCTTCTAATTGTTTTAGCTTCTGTTTTAATTGTTTTAGCTTCTGTTTCAATTGTTTTAGCTTCTAATTGTTTTAGCTTCTGTTTTAATTGTTTTAGCTTCTGTTTCAATTGTTTTAGCTT